GGAGGAGGAGGTGAGGTCATGGGCTGTGGGGAGGAGGAGGTGAGGTCATGGGCTGTAGGGAGGAGGTGAGGGGGCACATGCTTTGGTGGGGTCCTAAGAGCTGGACCCCGCTTGCTTTCCTCATAGCAGCAGAGCACATTGCAGCTCCAGGACAAGGAGGCAGTGGCTGTGGGCTGGACCCTCGGGCCTGGGAACCCAGGTAAACCCTTCCTCTCTACTGACTGTCTGCGGTTTGTCATTATAGAAAGGAAGGCTGGCCCACACAGGAAGGCCTTCAGGGCAGAGGGTGTGACCTTTCCAGTCCTTGCCAACCCTCACCCCCCCCGCCCCTTTGGGGGCCCAGGACCCTTGAACAACAACCCCCAGGCCTCTTTGTATGGGTCTGGCAAGTGTCCTTCACCTCAGTGCATATGTATGCATCTGTGTCAGTGTATGGATGTGCGTGTGTGCATGCATCTGTGTTAGTATATGGATGTGTGTATGTGCATGTGTATTTTTGCATAGTTGTGCATAGGTGTGCGTGCATGTATATGCATGTGTGCATATGTATTACGTATATGTGAGTGTGCATGGGCATGGGTGTATATGTGTATGTGTGATTATGTGTGCATGAGTGTGCATGTATGCATGTGTATATGTGCATGTATGTGTGTACGAAAGTGCATATGTATATGTGTGCATGTGTGTATGCTTGTGATCGTGTCTGTGATTGTGCATTGTATATGTGCATGGGTGTGTGTGCACACGTGTGTGCATGTGCACATGTCAGATACAGCTTCTGGGTGTTGAGATGATGAGGCCCACCCACCCGCAGGGTATGAATGCCGACAGCTGGCCTGCGCCAGTCCCTGGCCTCCATACCATGTGTGTGTGTGCGCACGTGTCAGATACAGCTTCCGGGTGTGCTGAGATGCTGAGGCCCACCCGCAGGGTGTGAGTGCTGGCAGCTGGCCCCGCCCCCGCCCCGCCTCCTTACCACATGACGCTGTTGTCCTGCACAACCTCTCCGGGAGCCACCACAGTGCCTCTGAAGTAGCAGGGACACTCCTGGGCGGGCACGCAGGCGCCCCTGTCATTCAGGAAGGTGCCGTTGGGGCACGTGCAGCCGTCCACGGGCACGAAGGAGACCCCGCAGGTGGCGTCGGCCTCGCTCAGGGCGCGGCAGGTGGGCTGGCAGGTGTCCACCACGTACGCGTAGCTCTGCGACTTGGGGCAGCTGCTCATATACTTGGCTGTGGAAGGCAAGAGTGGGGACAGAGTGGTCTGTGCCCATCCCTGCACCTCCCCTGACCCCAGTGCCCGTCCCTGCACCTCCCCCGACCCCAGTGCCCGTCCCCCC